AAATTTATTAGAGTACACAATATTTTGGGGAACACAATACCACCACACATGAATACACACATTCTGTGAGTTCTTCCTCACCCTGCTGACCTGACAAAAAAGCCTGGCACTGGAACCCAAAGCCATGAGAGTTTTTCATCTGTTCCTAGACACCCTGCTTATGGACTAGCTCAACACTTCAAGACAAGATCAAGACATGTTGACACAACCACTGTGGTCCACACGACAGAAGGGATGGAAGACCTTTCAAAGTTAAGAAAACCCAGTCCTTAATGTGAAGCCCTGAGTCAGCTTCTCTAGTTCCCATTCTTCCTGCAGAGGGTCTGTGTGTGTGGGGGGGGGGGGGGGGGGGGTGGGGGGGGGGGGTGTATGTGTGTTCCCTCACCCGGAGTCAAAGCTTCTCTGTTGCAGCGGATTCTGACAGATCTGTTGACTGCTTCCTGAATTTCCAACATGGGACTTTTGTTTCACCTGGAAATTTTTCTCTCTTAATTCTCTGACTGGCAGAGATCACAATCAAGACCTCAAGACCGTTACACTAGCCCAGTCTGCAGAGTTCAGGAAGGACCAGACCCCGTTTGCTCTACAGATTCTGAGAAATCTGACAGCGTCCATGTGAGAACCGCTCAGCTAGAGAAGCATGCTTCCCCACCAAAGCTGCTCACTGAGCTCCCAGCTCCACCTCAGGAGCAGGCAGTCAGCTGACCATCATTAGTTTGCAATCCTGGACTCTGCACTATCATCTACTCCGCGCTACCAGGCAGCTCTCCTGTCCCAGAAGCCCGAGGCAGACTCGGGTGGCAAGCGGCGACCTAAAGAAATTACTCAAGGCACAGTCCCTATCGCCCCCTCCCCAGCCCTGACCTGCAACCTCACGTGACCCCGTCAGTTCAGCACAGCACCTCCAAGACAGCTTCTTCCGCCCTCCCACCCAGCCCAGGTCCGCTCCCTCCAAGTCGGACCCCGGAACCCCGCAAACTGTCTGCGGCCGCGCTGCACCCTGGACCAACCTCCATGTCAGAGACGCAACAGGAACGTACAGCAGGCAGGACTCTCTCCCAACTTTGGGAAAACTGCAAATGTGTGGACTGAAGTCCAGAAGGGAATTTCCTGGATGGCTCACCGTGACGTCACAGTGCTGCAGACTACATTTCCCAGAAGTCAATGCGCAAGAATTCTTGGAACCAGGGAATGGAGTTTTCTCCTATTGTGGATTCGATTCTGTCCCCCTGTAGGAGAATTTTGGAGGAAGAAGCCCAGTCAGCAGGACATTCCTGGGGTATGAATCTGGTGTTCACCTCCAGATCCACAACATAAGAAACATGAGTGTGAGTCGAGCCTTTGACAGAAATATTAGCCCTGTAAAATTTCTGGCCCATATTTTGTAATTTGAATCTTACTGCAGCGTTTCAAAATCATGTTGACTCTGTTTTACTTTAAACTGAGGAAGCAATACTGTAGCAGGAATCTTAAAGAGTCTTATTAATAAAATCAAATCTGAGCCAGGTACTGGGGTCAACGCTGGACGATCAGAGAGACAGAAGAGGCCACAGCTTCCTCACCTTGCCATTTCCTCAGCTGATCCTGTGTCCTCAGACTCGATGCCTCTGCATCCACATCCAAAATGAATCTCAGCTGAACTGTGATGCTGGAAAGCCTGAAAGGTTAGCCAGCCAAATGCTTCTAGTTTCTGGTCCTCACGCCTTATATACCTTTCTACTTTCTACCACCACCTGGGATTAAAGGCTCACTTTTTGGGATTAAAGGTGTGTGTCATGTTGCCTGGCTGTTTCCAATGTGGCTTTGAACTCACAGAGATCCAGAGGGATTTCTGCCTCAGGAATGCTAGGATTAAAGGCGTGTGCTACCACTGCCTATCCTCTATGTTTAATATGGCTGCCCTGTTCTCTGACCCCAGATAAGTTTATTAGCACAGTATTTTGGGGAACACAATACCACCACAAAATACACTAATGTGGGAATGAGAAGTGCCTTTTAAAGATGATTTTGAAACCAGCCGTCATCTGTCAATCCTTGCTCCTAGCTGCTCTGCGGTTTCCTTGACAAATGGACCAGAGTTGATGGTCTGGACTGGGAAATTTAAAGAGACCTTGTATCTAAGTAAAAAGGGAAAGTCAAAACAAAACAAAATGAGCCGGGCGGTGGTGGCACACGCCTTTAATCCCAGCACTCGGGAGACAGAGGCAGGCGGATCTCTGTGAGTTCTAGGCCAGCCTGGGCTACCAAGTGAGTTCCAGGAAAAGGCGCAAAGCTACACAGAGAAACCCTGTCTCGAAAAAACAAAAAACAACAACAAAAAAAAAAAAAGTAACAAACAAAACAAAACAAAATGAAACAAACACATGTGAAAGTATTTGAGTATAAAGTCGCCTTTGTCTGAATATGCTGTCCTACGAATAAGTAAATAATAAATAAATAAATAAATAAATAAATAAATAAATAAAAAATCCTGTTCCTCTGCACTGACACTCTGTGTGAGCCATACATGGGTCTGACTCCACAGCTTTTAAAACAGTTTTGTGAGAACATTGGAATCTCTACAGTGTATTGATGAGGGACACAGTGACTGTATAATCAATGAATAAAGTGAAATGTCCACCTCTCTGATCTTACTTGCAAAGATCTCCCATAATCCATCTCAGGAGTTTTCCACCTGTACTTCTTTCCTTGAAAACTTTCAACTAGTAATCTCTGTAAGCCATTTAGTTTTTGTGAGAGCTCTACTAGAATTTTACCAGTGTCTCCATGGTTTTTCACAAACTCAGGTCCATATTCACCACCTGTGTGCTAGGAGCTCATGCTTACCTCCCTAGTGAAGGGTCACTGGTCCTGGGTCATTCACTCAGGACTGAAGCACAGATAGCTCAAACTATCTAAACAGTCCAGTTTCCTATAGTTGAGTCAGGAGTATATGGTGGGATTCCAATTCCACTTAGTGATCACCATGTTCCATGAAGTGTGACCTCACAGGGACAGTTAGGAGGGACACTGAACATCTGACCAGTTATATGGTGAGGCTGATCTCTTTAATAGTGCTGCAGAGAGTCATGGTGACCTCCAGGGTGCACTTCCTGTCTACACATCTAGTACAGTGTAGACAGTGCTGTCATGTTCTGCTATCTTGGGACAGTGTCAGCCCCATCGCACAGTTTCCTTCTACTTTGGGTGCTGACCCTGGAGAAACTTTCCTAGAAGTACAGTTTTGAGTCTGAGCTCCTGCAGTGGTCTTCAACTTGCAAATGAAACTGCACTTTCACCAGACAGAGACTTCCACGGATGTGCTCTTGATTCAGAGCACATTTAGGTGTGTTAGTATGAAGTGCCAGGTTTGTCCATATTGGAGTTAATCTCCCTGACAATTACAGCTGATTTCACATGGTCTATAACTTCAAAGTCACTGTGGTTTAGAATGAGAATGTTACTTACAGGTTCATACAATAGAATGCTTGGGCCCCAGTTGGTCCATCTTGTCCTGATTCCAGTTATGTTGAACACTTCTCAGCCCTATAAACTTCTTCCATATTTACATGGATTCTGCTGTTCATCAACCATGTCTTTATTTTTTATTTTTTTTTTTTTGGTTTTTCGAGACTGGGTTTCTCTGTGTAGCTTTGCGCCTTTCCTGGGACTCACTTGGTAGCCCAGGCTGGCCTCGAACTCACAGAGATCCGCCTGCCTCTGCCTCCCGAGTGCTGGGATTAAAGGCGTGCGCCACCACCGCCCGGCTCATCAACCACGTCTTAATGCCTGAGGGACAAACAATTTTCCATATTACCCCTCCATCTTGTTTGCAGTCTCAGTTTCTGTCTGCAGTCTATATATTGTTCATCCTGTTACATAGAAATATATTGTTCAGTAGCTTTAATATAGTTTCCCACTTTCTGCAATATCAGTCATTTCCTGTGGAAGTTTTTCAGTTTGGGTACTTGTACTTGTATTACTCTTATACATAAGGCTATAACTTGAAGTGTATTTCTGTAGTATAATGCCAGAGTCTAATTTGTTTAAGACAAAACAGTCATTTCCATAACCACACACAAGAGACCTGCCTATCAAACTGTAGGGACACAAGTGGGCCACATGACAATGTGTAATGTGACTAAGTAGGTGTGGGGCAAGTCTGTGGTGATATTGTGTTCCCCAAGATATCATGCACCCTAATAAATTTATCTGGGTCAAAGAACAGAACAGCCACTAGACAGACATAGAGGCCAGAAAATGTTAGCACTCACACCTTTAATCCTAGCCTTCTGGAGGCAGAAATCCATCTGAATTTCTGTGAGTTCAAAGCCACACTGCAAACAGCCAGGCATGGTGACTCATGCTTTTAATTCCATGAAGTAATGGCAGAAAGCAGAAAGGTGTTTAAGGTGAGAGGACCAGGAACTGGAGCTGGTTAAGCTTTTAGGCTTTTGACCAGCACAGCTCAGTGAGAGGCATCCAGTCTGAGGAAACAGGATCAGTTGAGGAAGTGGAAAGGTGAGGTAACTGTGGCTTTCTCTGTTTCTCTGATCTTTCAGCATTCACGCCAATACCTGGCTCCAGGTTTATTTTCATTAGAGACCTTTTAAGATTTGTGCTGCACAAATGAGGTGGTATTGTGTTCCCCAAAATATTGTGCACCCTAATAAACTTATCTGGGGTCAGAGACAGAACAGCCACAATATTAAACATAGAGGATAGGCGTTGGTAGCACACACCTTTAATTCTAGCATTCCAGAGGCAGAAATCCATGTGTTCAAGGATGCAGCCAAGCATGGTGACACACGCCTTTAATCCCAGGGAGTGAGGCAGAAAGCAGAAAGATATATATAAGGCATGAGGACCAGAAACTAGAAGCATTTGGATAAGCATTTGGCTGGTTAAGCTTTCAGGCTTTGGAGCAGCACAGTTCAGCTGAGATCCATTCTGGATGAAGACTCAGAGGCATCCAGTCTGAGGAAACAAGATCAGCTGAGAAATTGGCCAGGTGAGGTTAGCTGTGGCCTGTTCTGTCTCTGTGACCATCCAGCATTTCACCCCAATAACTGACCCTGGGTTTGATTTTATTAATAAGACCTTTTAAGATTCCTGCTACACAAGTCCATGTGTTCATTAATTTGTTCTAACTCCCAGTGTACTCAGAGTGGCACTGATCTCTCTTTCCGTTGTTCTGATCACTCAGAATGTGCTGCCTCACCCTTGCTATAATCTCTTAAGTTCACATGGAACCAAAACATGTTCCAAACTTACAAAATATTTGCCAATCCCAAGACCTAGTGGCCTTTTAGTTTTAGCACAGTTGATGCTTTCTGAAACGCATTATTCATCATGTCATCTTGATAACAGCTCCCATCACTGAACCATACCTAGTATGTAGTCAGTTATCTCACATACTCATGAGGTCACAAGGCTTTGCTGAATCTCTTAAGTGTCAAGTGACCTAAAAGGTGTGTATTTGTCTCCAGGTGTGCTGTGAGCTCATGTTACAACCTGCCCCTGCACAAGTGGAGGGACACAGGTCCTGGCTCAAACAAAGATGTGTAATGACACCTCACCTTTATCCATTGCTGGAATTCCCTCTGCAGAGATTTCATCTGCTGTGTCCAATTTCCTCTTCTCTGATGCTGAAAGGATTCCAATGTGACAGTATCTTGAAATTCATGGCTTCTGCCTTGGATTTATCTCAGTTTCTCAAAATCAGGACACAAAACTTATTATTTCTAAAATACAAAGATATCAAATAACTTATTGTAATTTTACAATCAAATACCATACTATACACCATAACCTCTACCCTGGCAGCCTCTGAGAGTTTCACTTTCACCTCTTATTAAGAGAGGAAATCTATTTCTCTATTTCTCTATGTCCATTTAGGCACTGATAATCAGAAGGCAGTCAAATTCCAAAGTCTCTTGACTCTGTAATACAAACAACTGCTTATCCCACAGTGCTTACAAGATTATGGCTTCAACATATGTTGGGACAGTGGTCACTTGACATTCCAGATGGAGGAATCATCATCTAGCAAGGAAAGATGAGAATAAGTGAGACAGAAATGCAGTGAGACATCCCACATCTTGCTACATCATGTGCATGGCATCTGAGGATCCTGATTGAAGTTATGCGGTCTCCAAAGAATTGTGTCAACTCAAACTTTCTATCTCTGTGCTCTGAAGAACAGATAGTCTTTGTCTAAACTTTGATATGTTTCTGTCATGAGTATAGGATGGGTTTCCAATACAACTTAGCTGTTATCTCCATGTTTCATTGTGAATCAGTTCACTTTAACTCTGCTGCAAAGCTCCATGTTGACCTACATGTTGCACCTCAGTGTCTACAGAGGTAGTACAATGTGGACAATGCTATCAAGTTCTGCTTCAATCTTGGGATATGGCCAGAGCCCATAGCAAGGTTTCCTTTGTCTCTGGGTTCTGGCATTAGGCAAAGGTTCCTAGAAGTGTAGTTTTGACATGAACCTCTACAATGGTCTCTCACCATTCAAATGAAAATTTCACATCCACAAGATAGAGATTTCCTTGGATATGGTCTTGGCTCAGAGCATATTTATTGTTGGCTCAAAGTACCAGGATTGCCAATATTGACCTTAATCTCTCTGATAATCACAGCAGATTTCATGTAGTCTATAAATTTAACGTCACTGTGGTCTTAGAACGAGAATGGCACCTATAGGCTCATACAATGGAAGGCTTGGGCGCCACTTGGTAGGAACTTTTGGGAAGGATTAGAATGTGTGGCCTTGTCATAAGAGCTGTGTCATTGGGACTGGGCTTTTTATATAGTAAATTGTGAGCTACTCTGGGTTATCTTTATCTACGTCCTATTGTGGATAAATATGTGAGCTCTCTGCTACTGTAGGACCTACATGGCTGTAGGGCCATGCCTACCTACCTGATATTGTGCTCTCCAGCAGAGGACTTTGCACAGTGAAAGAATGAGCCATGAATTATTAATGTATTGTCTCACAGCAATTAAAAAGGCACCCAGTTCTGTGGTTTTCTAATGGAAAAGAGAAAGAATGTATACTCATCTCAGATCAGACTCTAATGACTGACACAGCAATGATTCCATTGTAGTCTCTACCTTCAAGAATCAGTTTATTGGGGTTGCCATCAGGAGAATGATTGAGGGATTAAATCAGAAATAGGGAAAACTCATATACACGTGCATCAGCAATACTAAAAATTTGAACTCAGGTTAGCTGCATGCCTCCAGCTCAGTGTATGACTTGTAGGTAACTCCACTGATGATCGGTCTCCTCCTTTACAATCCTTACTGTTTATATTGCCTCCAGCAGGTCCTTATTGTGAATCTTGCAGAGGTTGGGAAATCCCCAAGGCCTATCACATGCATCGTTCCCAGGAGATAATGAGGCCCCTCCAGGATGGAATGATTCCCTTCAGAGGATATTGCTACTGGCCACATTGCATACACAGTCCCAACATAGAGAATAATGAACACTTCTATTGAGCACTACTTATACTGTCTAGGTAAACCTCCAAAGTTTGGAGATACACACATTCAGAGAGTATCTTCTTTCCTCAAGAAGCAACTACTAAATTTCCCCAAAAGATATTAGCAGAAGTTTTTCTCCTAGGTCATTTGAGATCTCTCATCAGTAGACTGTCATGCCATTGGAATGACTGAGTTTGAAGCCAGGTAAAGCACAGGTGACTTCATCAGAGATAGGTGTCCTGGGAGTGAGTTAGAGATGTACTTATCTTTTTTACCATACCTTACCTTGGAACATGGAAGTTACATGAACATGATGGATAGGAATCTGGAGAGTCCCCAAAGATCAATCTGGACATGAGGTGATACTTAAATGACTAACATCCAACTTGTCCTGATTCCCTTTGTGTTTGCTTAACCACCTCTCAGTCCTCTACCCTTCTTTAACATTTATAAGAATCCCAGTGTTCAT